GGCTGCTGGACACTGGCCCAGTGTCCTGATGTTTCCTCACTGTACCAGGCCATCCCGGGGCCCCCTGACCTGCTGGCCCCCAGGGCGCCCCGGTCCCCCGGCCCCCTGGGACTCAGGTGTGCTGCTTTGAGCTTGGCATCAGGCTCTTTGATCTGTGTTTGTGAATAAAAGCATTGTGAAATCTGCAGTGTGTATCAAGAGTCACATTGGCCTGGCACACAGCGTCATTTGTCACCACTGGGCAGCCGGCCGGCGAGGAGCACGAGGGCCTGGGTGCGGGGCCGGTTAACATCGCACGTGGGGCTCCGGGCCAGGCCTGTGTTGGGAGCCGGCCCCAGGCTGCTAGCTCTGGCCACTGCTGGGAGCCTGGGTGCCCCTTGTGGTGACCCCCGGAGGCTGTACCCAGAATCCGGTCCCTCTCCTTACGCAGGTGAGCACCAGGAGAAGCCAAATTTGAGCCTGGTTCTGATCCAGCCTGCAGACCCGCACATGCCCGCCTGTCTGCGGCTGGGGATGCTTTGTGGTCACAGACGGTGCTCTTGGCCTAGAAAGTGGTCCAGAGCTGGCTTCGGTCAGCTTGGAGGTGTGGGCTGTGGACGGGACACACAGACGGCCCAGGACACGGGAGCCACCTCACTGGGCTTTACCATCAGGTATAGGAAGTCCCAGGGCAATGCTTGGCACAGGTACACAAGTGCTCGGGCCCTGCTCGCACCTTCCTTGACCACACCTGCGGCCAGAGCTGTGTGACTTGTCACCTTCCACCTGCTTTCTCCTCCCGCCTCCCGCCGTCCTCTCTGAGCTCCAGGACAATGAGTTACTCGTGTTTCTGTATTGGATGTTCTGAATCTTCTCTGTATGATGATGTTTTGATGTCTGAAAACCTTCCTGGCTAGGGAGAAACTGCTCCTCCTGGCTCGGCCAGTTCTCCGAGGCCCAGCTGGGGCACACCACTCACATACACACTGACCGGCTCAGAGCCAGACCTCCACCTGGCCTGTCCACCCAGGGGGCACTGTCCTCTCCCTGGATCACCCGGGGCCAGGCGCCAGGCATCGACGGACCACTGCTATAGCCCAGAGCCGCTGGCATCCTTGGAACGAGCCCATCCACGATGGCTCACCCTGCCCAGCCTCCTGGGGAAACCCTGATGAAGGGCGTGGCCCCGGCTCGCCCCGCTCCTGTTCCCCACCTGCTGACCCGGCCACTACCTGTCCCAGCGGCCCTGCGTGACCTAGGACCTGCGAACATAGAAACTTTGTCCTTCCAAGCCGCATCCTCATCATTCCTGTGGTCTGTCAACTTTATAATCTCATATCCGACACGTATATTCTTAGCGCAGTTGCTACACGTCGTGCTCGAGGCTGCCTTCAACCCCAGGTTACCCATAAGAGGCTAACGGTTGGGGCTCCTGCGAACCACCACAGAGAAGGAAAACTTCACAAACTTCATTAACAATACAAATTGCAAAATATCATAGCACGAATACCGCTCTAAAATTATTAAAATTTGCAAACATAAACTGCCAAAATACCTTCCAAAACAGAAAGCGGCAGTCCCGCATAGGTTCGCCGGCGAACCCTACTGCACGTTTAAGGAGGAAAGTAACCAATTTTCTTAATTTTCCAGAATGTAGAAGCCAAGGGAGTAATTCCGAACCCATTTTATGAGGCCAGCATTATCCTATTACCAAACCAAATGAAGGCATAAGAATAAAAAACTACAGACCAAAATTTCTCGTGAACGTAGAAATTCTCCACAAAATATGAGCACATCAAATCTAACACTGTATAAAAAGCATTATATGCCATGACCAGGTGGGGTTCACCCTGGCTGGTTCAACACTCAAGGCTGGTTCAATACAAGGCTGGTTCAACACTCAAAAATTGATTAATGTAATCCATCACACTGACAGTCTAGGAAATACCACAGGATCATATCGACAGGTGCGGAAAAGGCATCTGACAGGATAAATGCTCTCGGTAAGCCAGACGCAGGGGAACCTCCTCGGCTCGATAAGAACATGTGTAAGAAGCCCACGGCTCAGCCACGCTCCGCAACGAGAGACTCGAGGGTCCCAGAAGGGTCACAAACGAGGCAGGGGTGACCCCTCTCACCACTGCTTTTTGACATGGTACTGGAAGTCCCAGCGAAGACGATAAGACGAGAAAATGAAAAGGTGTACAGGTTGGGAAGAAAGAATTAAAACTGCGTTTATTTGCAGATGACATGACAGTCCACGTAAAAAAATCTGGAAGGATCAACGGAAAACCTAGAACTAAAGGTTGTAGGTACAAGGCTAATAATGTCCAAAGTCAATCCGTTTCGGACACACCAGCAACGAATAAGTGGATTTCGAAATTAAAAATACGTCGTTTACATCAGCGCCCCCTCGAAATGAAATACTTGCGTATAAATATAACAAAACGTGTACAGGATCTTTATGAGGAAAACTGCGAGACTCTGACGAAAGAAATCGAGGAACTAAATAGACGAGGGGTGCCCCCTGTTTATGGGTAGGGAGACTCACTGAAGTCCGGAAACCAATTCTCGCTCCTTCTGCAGACTTAGCACAACCCCACTAAGCCACAGTAGCCCATCTTGTAGATACGGACAAACCGATCCTAACGCTTACATGGATACGAAGGACCCAGAAGAGCCACACGATTCTGATGAGCGGCGCAGAGGGCGGACAGCGGCCCGGCCTCCAGGGTCGCCGTGACTGCGCAGTAATCATGACGCGCAGATCTGCAGCGCGGAGCTAATCAACGGAGGAACAGAGGAACGCGACAGACAGCCCGGGGAGCCCAGAGAGGGTCGCCAGTGAGTGATGTCGACTGACTGGACGAGCGTCAGGAAGTGACGATGCAGCAAGACGGTCTCTGCAACCGATGTTGCTGGGGCGGCCGGGTGCGCACACGAGCGGCACCGAACGCACGAGACAGAAAAAGGAACCTGGGCTCGGACCTCCCGCTCCTCGCGTAAGGGAACTCAAAACGGGTCACGGAACTACGCGGAAAAGGCAAAACTTGAAATTCTTAGCAGCTGACCTGGAGGAAACCGAGATGGCCTTGGGTATGACAATGACTTTTTAGCTATGACAGCAAACCCACGATCCACGAAAACTTAAATTTATAAGCCGGACTTCAATGAAATGGAAAACTTCGGATCCGTGAAAGACAATGCAAAGGCCGTGAGAAGAAAAGCCGCAGACGGGGAGGAAATTTTCGCAAAAGGCACATCCGATACGGGGCTGTTAGCTAGAGTGTGAAAAGGACCTGAAAACTCACAAATAAGAAAAGGTGACAGGCCTTAGCGGACCAGCCCCGAAGACCACGCGCAGATGCGAGGAAGCACCTGGAAGGCTGCTCCGGCCCGGCCCTCGGCGGACGTGGGCGGGGGGAGGGTCCTGTGTTCGGAGGGGCCGATGGGCCCGTAGACACAGTAAGGGTCCGGGCCGTGCTGACGTGACAGGTGGAGGTGAGGCC